ATATATAAGTCGATGACCCCTATTTTGATTTGATCTGTGTTAAGAATCATGATTTAGCTTTGTTTAGGGTCCGCAATAACTGATGAAACAAAAGGTGGAACTTAAAATAATGACAGCAGTAGCATTTAATTAGTCCTCTGTCTCAAAGACGGGCAGCATTTCCCCTCTTTCGAGTGCATGGATGAGAACACGTGTCGCGAGATGGGCAGCGGCTGGCACGCGCACGGGCTAAGTCAGAGGGGAGAGGGTTAGATTCGTAATCTCGCATAAACTAAACGACGTCGAACGCCTCGAGAGGATAAAAAGCTGGTCGGATTGGGGGAGGGGAGAGTGGTGCAAATATCTAAAAAGATAGGGGTAGTTCTGTCACATGAGTAAGAGTAGCCCCTTCTTGCGGAGTACGAAATCTATGACGGAGTCCGTGACGCTTGCAGTAACCGAGCCGAGCCGAGCCGAGCTGAGCTGGGTTTCGACTCTCGTGGCTCGCTCCCAAATCGGCGTCCAATTTATCGGCAATTGACATTGAAAAAAGTCAGAATCCCAATTATAAGGATAATGTTCAGATAACATATAAATAATATCTTCATACCAATTACTACTCCTATTCATGCCCTTAAAACCGGCTTCCGAGCCGAGCCGAGCCGCCATTCCTCCAATTTGGCTCACTGTGAACCGGTGGAGATCCGTACAGACCTGGAAGTAGAAACCTTGCGTTCCGTCACCTCTTCTCTCGTTCCTCGGGAACTGTGACCTACAATTTTAACAGGGTAATCTCACCTAGAGTACCTGGATCCTCGGAATCATGCTGCTTTCCTACTATAACTGGCCGTTCCGAGAGGAATGGCCGCTTTGAACGACACCCAATCGCTTTGAACGACACCCAATCTCCTCTCTCTCTCTGATCTGCTCTTTAAAATAGTTGCATTAGCTCCTCTGTCTCTGCGAGCCCAGTCGAAGAGGACAGGGCCGAGTAATGTGAGTGAGAGACGGAGTGTCTGTGTCTCAGCACATAATTGATAGAAGAGAGGGAAGGAGGAACAAAGGAGCGATCTTGATCGGGACTCTGGCGTTGCCGTATTCGTACGGAGACGCAGGGAGGAGACTTTGGGTTTTCGGTGACGAATTGCAAGTTTTCCGCATGAAAGATGATAACTTTGTTTGTTTGGCGTTGATGGATTGGGAGAAAGATGAGATCTTTAAGGTTTATTTTTGGCTAATCTCCAACACACACGCACAAGAAAAAATCTGTCTTTGAGTTGATTTTTGTACTTCCTTCCCTGCATCAATGTCACTTGTCGACAGGGAGAGTGATTTTTGATTTGAAGTACAAGATTTGTTACGAGAGTTTGGAAAGGAAAAATGGCTCTCTAAGAAGAATATAGTTCCGAACAATGAGAGCACTGTAAATGAAGCTAAAGGGGGGAGACCTTTGGGGCACTTTCGTTTCTCGTCAATTGGTTGTTGTTCCTCAGATGACCAGATAATAGCAATCGAAACAGGATTGGTAAGTTGACGGTTTTATTCTCTCTCTTTCGAGCATCTATTCTTTCTTTCTTATTCTTAATGTCATCCGTGTTGTACTCGTCTCGATTCATCTCTTGGAGATGGGAAGAGAGAAAAGGAGTGGGGAAAGACGCACCACCCTCTTGTTCTCTTTCTCTGTCTTGTGCCTTTTTCTGCTCCGCTGGTAGTGATAGATCTTCTCCCTCCTTCCATGTGCAGTTGCCTTTCCATGTTTCTGAGATCAAAGATTCAAGATATTATGTTGAGGAAGAGGACCAGATCAGTCAGCAACAAGCAAGGCCTGATGTCTGATACTGCCTCCCTCTTATCTCCCACCGCTGCGTCCTTCTTCACCTCTCCAAGGCCCTTTAGTGGCTTCTCTCAGAAGGGCACTGCAGACCCTGAAGCAGGTGCGAGCCCGACTTCCATACTGGAAACCAGGCCCTTCTCTGCCATTAGGAATCCCTCCTTCTTCGATGGGAACCCAAAACGAGCCATCTTGTCATCATCTGTCACTCCCACCATCCCGAACGTGAGCAGACCACTCCCTCAGGAGAATGGGGACCCAAGAGCCATCGGACTTGGCCTTCTTGATGTTCTCAACAATGAGGACTCGGTTAAGAGCACTTCCAAGCCGGAGAAGAGGATGGTGGTGTTTGGGTCTCAGCTTAAGATTCAAATACCTCCTCCTCCCACTGCTCCTACCCAGTTCAGCTCAATTTCGACTACAGGCTCTACCGAGTCTCTCCATTCACCTATAGAATTCGGCATCAAAACTAGGAATTCAAAGTTGGCTTTGTACTCTCCCCAGAAATCTCCTCTCCAGACTGGCTATGTGGGTTCTGATATGCTGAATTCTTCACCTCGGGTTTTCACGGGGTGCCTTCCACAGTCGGAGATGGAGCTGTCGGAGGACTACACTCGTGTGATCTTGCATGGGCCAAACCCCAGGACTACTCATATCTATGATAACTGCATCATAGAGAGCTGCGGTAATGGATGGAACGAGAAAGGGGCTTCTCATGATCAGCCAAGCTACACGGCAGATGGTTTCTTGAGCTTCTGCTATGGCTGCAAGAAGAAAATTGGCCCGGGGGACGATATTTACATGTATAGGTTTGTTACCTGATCTTGCTTTACATAGTCATTGACTTTGTGCTGCAGACTTCAAATTTAGTTGTCTTTATATCAATAAGCAAACCATGAGGGTTTTTATTTTTAGAAGATATGTTAATGGCTTCCTCGATTGGTCGATCGTCGGGTTATGATATATCTATCTTAGATCTTACTATGTAATGGGAATTGACCCACAATTCTCGGTCTCACTGGATTTGTTGCAGAAATTGACTAGGTTCTATATTGCTTTTACTGTCAAGAAAATTTTCCTTTTTTGTGTTGTGATTGTTTTGACCCTGTTTTCTATGTTCAATTGCTCATCCTTTTTATCTGTAAATCCAACAGAGGTTTGTGGGTTAAGTAGCTTTTGATTTTGCAATTGAAATATTTTAGTTTCTGGTTCGTCGATAGATTTTTCGTCTCGGCTAGTAAAAGTAAAGAATTAAAATCAAGTTAAAACAATTATTTCCTTTTTCTTTCAGAGGAGAGAAAGCATTCTGTAGTCACGAATGTCGCGACCAAGAGATGTTGAGTAATGAAGGAAAGGAGGATCACTGACTAAACATCTCAGGCTGGAATCACAAAAAAGTCCTCTAAGCATACTTACATGGCCGACTCCTCGGAAATGATCGTTTGCTAAATTGAGTGAGTTATGAAGTGGTTGCACGAGCACGAGAAGCGATTATTTATGTACTGCTAGTATCATTTTCTTGTTCTTTTCCTTCTCCTTCTTAAAGGAGGATAAGATGATTTTCTGTAGAGTTGATTTCTTAGATTGCTGTCGATCCTCTCTGATGTATAAACTTCATTTTAATGTTGTATTTGCACTCTATGTTAAAGATGGAAAGATGTAGTTAAGGAGTTTGCCTGTGGTCACTCATGTTGGTATGATGCTGCCAGCAGACTTGGTGTATGGAGGAATGATAACAACACTGTACACTGCATTATTTTTTGGTATCAACATTATGGACACAGTCAACATTGTCTGAGGTGTCATCAACAGTGAATCCTATGTCCCTTTCCTATTGTTTTGTATGAGAAGGTGAGTTATCCATCTATTGGCATGCATCTTTATGGTGATGTTGAGCATGGAGTTGTTGAATCAAATGATGCTGAGATAGTTTAGCTGTTCATCAGTGTGAGCATCTTCCATGATAGACAACTTTAACAGTGTGCTTGACAGATCTGTCTAACCACAAAAACTGATGTAGTTTATTTTTTTCATGACAAAGATAACAATAATTACTGTTTTCAAGACTACATCATATCATATTTGTTTGTTTCATGCTTATTACCCTTTGAAAGGCTTTATATGACCAGGAAAATCTCATGGATGGTACATGAGCGTAGTAGCCGTCTGCTCATGTAGGATCATAAGATGAATGAATAGTGAGTTGTCTATAACTAGTGAACCTGTGTGATGTCATTATTCTATATATCCTCCATAGCTTTGTTCTATGTTAAGCTGCTGTTACAAGTGACTGACATTAGTAGCCAGACATCAATTGTTAAGCTATTCGAACACCTTTGATCTTCTTCTGTCGGATGTGTATCTAAAATGGAGCAGTCAAGGCCTTCATCATTCTTCAGCTGTACATATTCAGAATACTTAGAACCTTATTGGCTTATATGGTATGTGATGGATAGATGTGTGCATGCTTAATATTACAGTTAGATATTGTTTCTTATCATGCCATTATGTCCTTTCTTGGTGTTGCTTTTATAGCAGGAGAGAGAGACCTCGGTGTTTTCATTTGGAGACGGTTGGAAGTGTTCCTTCCAAATGACAAAAGAAGAGGATGAAGGCGACAAAGAGAGAGGGAGTAGTTAGAGACACAAGCTTGCAGAGGTAAGATACAGCCATTACAGATATCGACCGTCCACTTCTTGGAATACCACATTGGTGATGAGGGGTTCTCCAATCTCAGCCGTTCAATTTTCTTGTTTCAGCATCTCAGCATAACCGGAATGCTTTCGTGCAGTAAAAAAACCCAAATCGGACCGACCAAGTGAATAAAAACAATGAAAATTAGATTCTCGACAGGTATAATTCACTTGAGCTAAGCCTCGAAAAAGATTGAAATAGTTTCAGCCTTTTTTCGGCTATCGAGGTTATTTAACATTTTTTATTTTATAGATTAAAAAATTCTATTATTAAATTTGCTACTTTTTCATCCTTAATTTTTTTTAATAATATTTATTATATATCTTATATTTTAATATAAGCAAGTGGTTTCCTGTGCATGCAAAAGGAAGTGCCACATTACATTCAATACTGCAACTCCTTTTCCTCCTCTTTCTTGAGAATTTGGAGAGAGATTTCCTGAGCATGCAATTAAACCACCAAAAGTGAGGGGGTACATAAGCCATAGAGCCAATTCAACATTCTTCTGAAGTCAGTATGCGACTGATAAAGCATCCTAACAGTAGAAACAACAATATTCAAGCAATGCAACACATTTCTTTAATGTGCGATCCTCAACTACAAGTATTTCAACTATCTGAAGCTCTAAAGACAGTGAGCAAAGAGAGGAAAAGGTTAATAACATCCAAGTAGAGTGCCACAGCAGCCCAGATATATTCATCGTATGCATAACGCTTTATCAGGTTATCGGTGTCGTAGATGATGTAACCACAGAAAATGATTGCAGCCAAGACCCCATAGATCATGACAGAGATCCTTCCCATGGGAAAGAGGAGCTGAAACCAGCGAAACATGAACATAAGGGTACGGTTAAAAGACTCAGAAAACGGTCATAGTAGTGTCAATGACATGAATCAATCTAGTTTACCTGGATGAAGGCAAACACCATTAGAGCTAACATTGCAGAAAAGAGGAAAGGACCAAGGAAGTTGAAGTCATGCCCTCTTGAAGCAGCCCAGAAGGTATAGAGGGTGAGGCTCACCACCACCACAGTTGTGAGAATAGCAGATTCAAGGATCACCTTCCCTGTTTCATATAGCAGAGGCCCATCACAGTTATATCATAGAATTTACTGAAAAGATCAATAATTATAGCAGATCACAAGAGGTTAATGTAACCCAAGACAGTATGAAGGACATATGGAAACCATGTACGGGATAAGACAAAGCTACAACAAACTATACTCTTTTATCCAGTTCCAGATCAAAAACACACATATACCCAGCCCTTACATGTATATTTTCTCACACTCGTCACGCCGTCCATATTTCTACTCAAGTGTAGTTGAAGCCTGACTGAAATCATGTATGTTCCAATGCAAAAGTCATATTAAAAAGAGCATACTGATCATGATGAATTCAAAAGAAATACTTCACTCGTTTGTAATTCTTAAGAGTAAATAACTCAAGAACATGAATTATCTGATAAAATAAGCTGGTTAGATTAGTAAGAAACACAGATAAAGTATAACAATTGTTAGATGACAGGAAAAGGATAGTGATAATGCTAAATGAGTATGCATTTCAGACCTTGCCTCCAAGGAAACACTAGCATGATTGAAATATTAATCATTTCATGCTACCAACCGACTGATTAGGCAATATGAACTTAATGTCTTGAATAAGAGAAAAAGAAGGAAAATTTTCCTTCTGCCCCCTCTAATAACATGAGAAACCTCAATTCTAACTCCGAAACCCAAGAAGTGTCGCTACCACATCTGCCGACAAGCATCATCTGTCACAAGCTCACAATCTAGTCAAATAAATCTATCGAACCAATACCATGTGGCCCAAGAATATGTAAGCCCAAGTTATTAATATTTGATTCATTTAATCCTATTAACTCTATGGGGCTTGTGACAAGGTCTCCACTTTGATACCAATCGCCTAATCATTTCTACTTGGATTGTAATACCCCAAATTAATCTCACATCGAAAATGAACAAGACTAAGATTAATTTATAAAGGTCTAATGAATATATTACTATCAACTTCAGCTTAAACATTTTCATAGATCAGTTAACCCATCAAACTCGGGTCATGATCATGACAAATAGTATTATAATCGATTTATCATGACGTGAAGCTACCACTGTGCTACGACTCACATGCACCATACTTGGGTCTGATCTGTGCCAAGCTGGGCCTTGACGAGAACATCAAACCCTTAAGTGGGGAAGATTGTAACATCATCGATCAATTTTAGCTTAAACATTTTGACCGATGACTTGAGCCGAACAAAATTGATTGGTCAATTAGGCTTACTCATTAGGTGCCCAACATACTACTGCCGACAATGCATACTCTCATCTAACTTGCCACTTCTCCACCTCCACTAATACCAACAACTAGTATATCATCCATCATCCGAAGAAATTCCCAAAAATAAGGCCATGGTTTCACATGATATGTCACATTTACTTAATTGCACGTGATTTTACAGACTCACAAAGTATGAGAACCAAATGTAATACCACGATTATCCATTTCTCCCAAAACAGGGGTATCTGCTAAGACCAAGCAGGGCACTAAAATCCGATCGCATCAAACAATTGAATGAGCATTATCCATAAAAGCAACAGTTGCAGAACAGGCGACAGTAAGTACGGCTCTTTAAACTAGAAAAAGGATCAAATATTCTCGAAAAGTTCAAAGAGATTACCGCTCGTGAAGGCACATGTCAATCCAACTGCGAAGCTTATGGAGACTGTGAAGACGCCGAGGAGTAGAAAATTCCACGGGTGGTGCTGGTAATAGTAGTAAAGCGGGCACAACACTGTCGCAAAAGAACACCCAAAGAATAGATTGAAATCTTGTGAAGCTTAACCGTCAAATCGCACATAAGAATCCCGATCAAGAACACCAAGACGATAGAAGGCAAGAGGGGGAAAAAGAGGAGGGGCTACCGATGAAGGGGAGGATGATGAGGAAGATGTAGAGGCCGAGGCCGGCGCCGGAGGAGACGAAGAACTGGGAGACGGGGCGCACGGCGACGACGACGGAGGCCACGGCGACGGTGAGCAGCATCTGAACGACCAGGATGGAGTAGATCTTCCTGATGAACGCCCACCGTAGCTCCGGCCGCTCCAGCATGGCAGGGTACAGCGGCTGGGCTCCGGACTCCACGTCCCCGCCCTTCGCATACGGCGGCCGCGCCCACATCTTCTCCGGCGTCCTCGAGGACCAGATCGAGACTTACCAATTGGGATTCGAAATCTTCCACTCTGCGCTCGGTTCCTTGGCGTCAGCGGGAAGAGGAGTGTCTAATAAGAAGAGAGGAAGGCAAGCGGGCGAGAGACGTGAAGAAGGAACCAGACGACGCTGGTAACCGGCAATTTGGTGCCGAAGGACACGTGTCGCGCGGAAGAGCGCAGTGGATGTTCTAGAGGCGTCCAGTAACGGGCCACCGACACGCTGCTGTGGTGGGCCGGAGCGCGCCCGGTCCAATTTCATGACTTATCGGATCGGGTACAGATTCTCAATTAAGGACAGAATGTGCATAAATGGTAGTAGAGTTATTGTTTTATTGAACCCGAACAATTAATGTTTAAGTTAATACCAAAAGAAAGTAAACTACGTTACGAAATATGTTCTTTTGGATGCTTATTTGCTTAATTTAAAGTAATCTGGCCAAATATTATTAATTATTATTTTGAGGACTTTGATATTTTTATGCAGACGGCATTCCTCATATAAAACTTACCAATAAATTGACTCATATAAAACTGTGTCATATCATATAATTGAGCATATTAGAGTTATTGACTTTTGGGAGAAAGAAACATTCAATTAGCGTGCAAACTCCATCAATTGATCCAATAACAAAAGCAACTCATCCTTCATCCGCCGATACATCAACAGATTCATCGGTGTCAAGCCTAAGGTTTGAATCAGATTATAAGGATCATCAAACAAACATGTTCCCTTCGTGTAAAATTACCACTTGGCACGATCTGCAGGCGACAAGAGTATGCTTCACGTTAACTATCGCTATCCGACGGAACAACGGAATCGAGTGGCCCGGCTACTTCTTATGTGGTTCGACGTCCTCGGCGTCCCCTCAACGCGACCGATAAGCTGGGAAGGAAGCGAGATGGAGACGGCGTTTCAGGTAATCGGTCATGCTTCTTCCTAGTTTTCCTTCTCTCCAGTGATTCTATTTTCTAGTACTCTGACTCTGTTTGTTATTATTTGTGCCCCGATTCTTATTTTGTGGATTTATTATTTTTTGGAGCTCGACATGGAACGCGGATTTTTACATCGGGTTTGGAATCTTATTGTTTGATTAATCGAACGGGAAAGATGAAGCCAAGATCAAGTCCTGTATTTGATTCTCAAGGTGTTAGGGCTCCTTTTAGTTGCTGCCAATTCCTGTATAGAAAGAGGTTCATCGTAGATATTTTTTTCCCGTGCAAATGTTTTCCAAATTGTATATGATTATAAGTTCTTGAATTTTCCGAGTTGTTGTGGTCGTTAATCTGCTCCTTTCTTTGATAAAATTCTCATTCATCAGTGAATTGGCTATTACTGGTGACGAGGTAAAGTCTGAGGTTTTCGAATGCTTCTCGATGGACGTTGATTCAGGGGTTGTCATAGAAATATACTACTGATTGGATATCAAACTATGAGGTTTTGCTAGGTTTTAAGGGATATGATGGCTGGAAAGGTAAAGACATGAAGCCGTTGTCCTTGCTGCTCAGAAACTTGCTGTTGTGGAATTCTTTATGCTGTGATCACCGAGGATGTTGAGCAGTAGCATTTGGTCATGTAACTTGATTAGCATTTTATTGCAAGAAAAATTGAACTTTTTGCTTGCACCAGATCATTTAAAATAGAATTATTGAAAAATAAGAATTGATGAATGAAGAGAGAAAAAAAGATCAAGCACAACAGAAGAAGGCAACAGGACAGAATAGCTTCTATATGTTGTCTTAAGGTTTAGACAACTATGGTAGAATATCTTCTTTTTTTTTTTTTGTTCGAGAATTCTCACTATTTTTCTTTTCTTGTGAGAGGAATACCAAGCACAAGCACTTTCTTTTCTATTAGGTAAAAAAATTGACTAATTTGTTTAACTTCTCTCTAGAAAATAGATATATTTTAACCGATCCCCATGGTAGCTTTGCTATCTTAAACTGCTTACTGAATACAAATCACAGTAGAATGTAAATAACTGCCCCCTCTTGTATTCATTATAGGATGGCAAGGAGGAAGTTATCCAAGCTTGGTATATGGATGACAGTGAGGAAGACCAGAGACTTCCCCATCACCGTGAACCCAAGGAATTTGTTTCATTGGACAAGCTTGCAGGTTTTTTTTACTCTTCTTTTTAATCTGTTTAGATTAATTTTTTCCTGATGAGATCTCTCAACTTATGAGCTTGCACCTTCTTTTTTCCATTTACAGAACTGGGAATTGTCAGCTGGCGCCTGAATCCTGATGACTATGAGAATGATGAGGATTTGAAAAAGATCCGTGAAGCCAGGGGATATTCTTACACGGTTTGTTATGAGCTCTTTTTTTTTTTTTATTATTAATTGTGCATCTCCTTCTTCAATGAGGACCTCAAGAATTTGGCGGTTGACAAAACTTTTGCAGGATATATGTGATGTGTGCCCAGAAAAGTTGCCAAATTATGAGGCTAAGCTGAAGAGTTTCTTTGAAGAGCACCTGCATACAGATGAAGAAATACGTTATTGCCTTGAAGGAAGTGGTAGGGACACTAATACTGGCATTTGGTTGTATTTTGGTAGATGATGCCTTACTGTTTTATTTATTCTAAATTGTTGTTTGTCTTATTTGTAATTATTCAGGTTATTTTGATGTGAGAGACAAAAATGAATGCTGGATAAGGATAGCAGTGAAAAAAGGAGGCATGATCGTCTTACCTGCTGGAATCTATCATCGTTTCACACTTGATACGAACAACTATATTAAGGTATGATATAATGTTCTTTTCACCTTGGGTGCTAAATTGTTGTGCTGCATTAGTGAAGCAAACCTGTATTCGTTTTCTCCTTTACTCTGGCAGATGACTTGTAAGAAATGGATTAAGAAAAGAATGACTTGGGTAGTTTGGAATTTTTACTGTGATGATTATGATAGAAATTTTACAATAATCAGAAGAGACTCAGATTAGTTAGAATTCTAATCCAGAGAAGATGATAAAAGGATCTAATCTAGATAGGAAAAGGAACTTGAGAGATAATTTGATATAAACAAAGCCTATAAAGGAGTTCATCCACATGAACATGAACATGGTTGCACTAATACTGGTGATTGTGAGAAAGGCCATTGGCAAGCTTTGAAGGTTGAGAGGTGACACGGTCCAAGGTTGAGGTTGAGATTACCATAGTGAACAGGGTTCTTGGGTTTTACATTCCTCTGAACAGGACAATCCTGCCAATTTCCTCTTCTTGTTGCCACTACCTTTGCTTTCTTGCATGATCCATTAGTTGCTATTGGTCGATAGTGGAATTGTGTTGTCTGATGTATTTTAAGAGGGTGAGAAAAGAGGAGGTACCTTCACGGGCCTACCTTTTGAGCATTACCAACTATGTCATGAATGGTGGCGGCCACCACTGGATGACCATTTTGGTAGTCCTTTCAAGAGTTGCTGACCAATAGGCCGCCACAGTGGTGGTGAAGTGGATTTTCACACCATATTAGCTGATGTTTTCATCCACAAGGGCTGACATGACAGCATCATCTGGTGGCAACTGGCAGTTAGTTGCTGGAAGGAGACTGCTGGTAGCATTACTTTGGTCATCGGCCAATGTGCCAGTGGCAAGTATAGAGTTCAGTGCCTGCATGGGGAAGAATAAGACGACGGGAAGCGGAAAAGAACGAGGAAAGTAGAAGAAATATTGTATTTATCTTTGGTTAACGTTGCAGGGTTGGCCTTTGGGTGAGAGTTGTACTCATATTTCTACGCCCAATCTGTTGCTTATTTTTTATATCATTGTTGCTTATTTTTTGTATCATTGTTGTCAGAGAGAAATTATTACTTTTTTTCTTATTTCTGTGTACAAGTTAGTCTATAAATTGCATTTGAAGACTCCTAGTTTTCATTGTGTCCGAGTCACAATAGTTGCTTGCGTGAATTGGATATGAATCATGGATACCATGCTTTGTGCACCATGATTGGATACGAATTCCAGAAAGAATATATTAGGTTTCTAGTTATCTAGTACTCAAAGCTATGAAGTGGTGAATAATATACAGGAAAAATATTCATGTCCCTACAGCTGATACTAGTAATTGATGATGGTGCTAAAAAAAGGATATAGTACCTTTTATTCTAGTAATTGATGATGCTTACATTCTCAGGATCTCCAATGTGAGTTCTTTGCTTTGGTGTATGTTATGTTTTCCTTGTGTTGCTAATGTTTTTCTTACATGATGGATTTAATGTGTATTTAAAAAATCAAAGTTTACTGTTTGTGTTGATGCTAATATCGTCGGGGTAATTAAATTTGCATCTGCAGGCGATGCGGCTCTTTGTCGGTGAGCCAGTTTGGACACCCTATAACCGTCCCCATGATCATCTCCCTGCCAGGTTATCACTATATAATTGCTTTTTCTGGTTGGCACTTCAGTTTTCTTCCAATTCTTCCTCTCTTACAGGATTGACACACTTTGCAGGCAAGAATATCTTAACTCTTTTGTTATCAATGAAGCTGGTGACCGGGCTGTCGAAGCTCGTTGATGTCTACGGAGGACCAAATCCCGGACCATTAAATGTGAAGCCCGAAGAAAATGTGCTTAAATAATAATAACAACTTGTTTTTTATGTCTATGAAGTTGTTGAATTTGATGGCAAATATCAACCTATTTAAAAACTGCTTGTGGTCATTAATGTAGTTCATGTTATGGAGTGGTTTGCTAAAGGAATGGTGATGTTTGTATGCTATATCCTATGCCATAGTTAGGACAGCAGAGTTTTCTATCTGCTCTGTAGAGTAATTATTGTAGCCTTAGAAATCTAACTCGAGTCAGTGTACTTTACGGAGCCTTTCTTTATACTCAAACAGATTCATTGCTTCATGCGGATAGTCATTAGCATAGTTAACAATCACATAAAATTAGCATAATTAACAATCACATAAAATCGTACGAGGTTAATTATAATTTTTAGTATTTTATTTTTTATATTTTTAAAAGATATATTAATATTTTTTATTTATAAAAATAGAATATTTAATATTATTTTTTCGTGTTTATTTCAGTGGTAAATTTAAGATATTTTTATTAATAGAATTGACGATTAGATTTCGACAAGAATAAATACGTCATTTCAAAAGGTCATGAGGACCTCTTGCAACGTTTTAAAAGTAAGAGACATAATCTTAAAAAAAATTAAAATAAAAAAATCGCTCAAAAGCAATGTGAGAGCTTTTACTCCTTACAGTACATCCCAATCTTAAAAGATTTCCTCCACCATTCAATGAAGTGGACGGTGCCTTTTTGTGGGTAGTATATTAATTTTTAGTACTTGACAATTCTAATATGCATTATTTTGTTTTTTTGTTTAAAAGCGAAGATTATATGTGAATATTTCAACGGTAGATATCCAAGGAAGCGTCACAATCCAACGACTCAAGTAAATCTTCACCTTCCACCATCTCCCTTCTATTTTTCACCCTTAATCTAACATTAGGCGCGGACATTTATGCGGTGGCAAGTTTACCAAACTACCCCTCCCTTTCCAGATCTCGACGAAACGTGATCCCCACCTTTTGGCCTACCCAGTCTCGCCCCGGCCCGTCGCTCTCCCACGTCAGATCGCTAACCCATTGTTACCGTCATCATAGACGTGTCGTGGTGTCACCGCCGCGTCAAATCTGTGGGTGCTTTATTTTTATATTTTAGAGAGAGAAATTAAATTTGTGAGTGCGATTTCGTCGTGAGCTTTTCTATTCGCCACATTTCGTGGCCCTTCTTTGGTGAAGGGCAGTTTCGGTATACGGGCTCTTTAAATGGATCGGTGAAGGGAACAAACCGAGAGAGGTCTGAAGGTATCGGTTTGGGCGTATCGTGTCGACGGCAGGGATGTTGGCGGTGTTCGATCGGACGGTCGCGAAGAGCCCCGAGGGGCTGAGGAACCCGGAGGCGGGAGGCGGCGACGCGGCTGGCCGACGCCTGGTTGATCACTTCGCGGCAGCGCGAGAGGGGGCGGTCGTCATCAACCTCGGCTCCGCCGGGGCCTTGGCTTACGCGTCGGAGAAGCAGAACCCTCTGCTTCCGAGGTGGGTGGAACGATGAGGAACCAAGTTTCGTGAGCTGTAGGTTCGAACAAAAGTATCGAGCCTGCGATTCTAACACCTTGTGGTCGTTTGATTCCGTTCCTTTCTTTGATATATGGATATTAGTTCGCGTTAGATAATCTGATTACTTTTTGGAGAGTACTGCTGAGTACAAATTAAAGTTGTATCTCAAAAGCATTAACTTGATCTACATAAATTGTTTAATTTAATTTTTTTTTCTCATGCTAATAGTTAATCTTTGTTCTTTTCCTTCTGATTAGAAAGGTCAAACAAACAAAAAAAACACTTGTAACTTCATTATCTCCTATTTTGATTTTATTTTTGCTAATAATTCTGTCATTAAGAGTAGTGGTTATTATGCTAATAGCATAATTTCTTTATATTACTTCCTTAAATCCTTGTACTGTAGTCTTTGTCATTATTTTGACCCCAAATAATCATTGTTCCTATGGTACCTTCTCTCGGATTAAATATATGTTCACTTACCTGGATCGCATCTAGAACCTCTTTTGTCAAGAAAAATAAATTCAGTTTACGTTAGTTCTCAACGAAACAGGATCTGACCAGAATGAAGTCATCTTTTTGTTGGTACTTTTGCAGATTATTTGCTGTCGTGGATGATATATTTTGCTTATTCCAAGGGCATATCGAGAATATAACTTCTCTGAAGCAACAGTATGGATTAGGCAAGACTGCAAATGAAGTAATCATTGTCATTGAAGCCTATAAAACTTTGAGAGATAGAGGTCCATTTCCTGCAAGTCAAGTTCTGAGAGACCTCGGTGGAAAATTTGCTTTTATTCTGTTTGATTGCTCATCAAATTCTGCCTTCATTGCGGGTGTGAGTATTAAATCATGAATGGCTACTTTCACTTTGCAATTAAGTTGTTTTTCCAAGTATGTAACTCATATAGTCGTCAAACAACATGATCCTTTGATTAGGTGCATGATTCTTGCACAGATTTCAACGAAGAAACTTCAACTGGTTCGATAGCTTTAAATTTCTCCAGAACTTTGTCTTTGGTTACTTCCTCGTCTTTTCCTTTCCAGAAATTATGGGCTTTTAGGTTGAAATTTATTTTTTCATACCTCTGTTATTATATTATTTCTCAAGCAAATAAAAGGTTGTTTGGTTCTTGGATCCAGTCTCCTCTGTGTCTCCTAGACTTTGACGTTGTGTAGAGTAACAGTCCATGCTGGCCTATGCTTTTCTAATTTTTGTGCATGTCCTAACTAGGTACTTGCACCTATTGTAATTTTTAAGCTTCTAAGTGCTTGCTATTTCTCTTGCATCAAGAAAATCTCTAAAGGGGCTAGATGGGCTTCGTTTATATGTGAAATGTGTTTCCAGTAATTCTCATGTTGACAAAGTTCCCTCGTATGAGGTGAATGACAAAGAATTCAGAAAACGAGCATTCCTTTGTGCTCATATGAGCCTAAAACTAAAACAAATAGTAAGGTTTTGTAAATGCATTGTCTAGGTTAGGACACACGTCTTTCTATATATGTGTAGAACACAGTCTTTCTATATATGTGTAGACAGACCATGTACCTCACTCTGGTGCATCGGTATTTCAGGAATGTATGTTATGCTTCATAGGTTTCTGTTTGACACTCATCATAATATTCTGTAACAAAGCTCATGATTTTGCTGTGTTTTGTTCTATCTTGACCCATGGAAGATGTACAGTCGGGTTGTTATTATAGTTAAGAGCAGTTGAACTCTTAACTGGAAATAGGTATGGTGCATAGCATGTGCCCTTTGGATGTTGGTAATGTTGTATGATCTAAGATACTTCCTATAAGACTGTTATGAGCAATTATTGCACCCAGAAATTTGGTTGCCAACTGATTGATAAAATGTGAGATCATGACTAAAATTGGCAATGCAATTAAATATGGATTCTTATAATTGTAAGATGTAATTGTCTTATCCATTGGTCGGTTTAGTTTTCATAATCTGCTGAAACTGTATCTCTTTCTTGGACCAAGGATGCTGATGGGAGTGTCCCCTTCTTTTGGGGAGCTGATGCCGAAGATCATCTTGTGCTTTCTGATGATGTGGACACTGTAAAGAAGGGTTCTGGGAAATCATTTGCACCGTTTCCTAAAGGTATAAAATTGTTAGAATGGCGTCCATCACTCTATTATCTACAATTCAAGCATCAGCATCCTTGTTCTCTCATGTATCCTCCACAGGCTGCTTCTTTACCACATCCGGGGGATTGCAGAGTTTTGAGCACCCTCTCAATGAGCTTAAGGCAGTGCCAAGGGTCGACAGCCAAGGCCAGGTCTGTGGTGCCACGTACAAGGTCGACGACAAGTCTAAGAAGGATACTGGGATGCCCAGAGTTGGCAGTGCCGCAGATTGGTCTTCTCAATTTTGACACTGCAGACAACTGCTTGCTGCCTTTGTTGTCTTTGCATTGATATATCGGACTGTGTTGTTACCATTGGAAGTCGCATGTTTCACTTTGTTATTATGCACATCTTTATGAGAGTGCGTATATGCTTTTACCAAAATAACTTGTTGTGACAAAGCATCATAGTGATGTTTTGGATCCACCACCTGCATGGATCCCTGAACCTTTTATGTAGCAGTTAAAATTGTCCTACTTGTATGTGGAAAAGAAAGGGTTTCTTTTAACTACTTTTGGTCAGTGATGGAAGATTACTTCAACTTTTATATGGCATCATTGCATACTTTTGTATGTTGCAAAATTGGCATGCAGGATATATTCCTGGACTCAGGGAATTCTACTGACCTTCTATGGTTGTGTTCTGTTGTTGACAAATTAAGTAGTGATTGGAGTGAATGGCATTAAATCTTTATACACTAAAGGGTTGTTGCATGCATACTAATCTTTTCTACCTCTTGCAACACAACACAAGCTACACTTGTTGGAGGTTTGATGAGCAATCTCTAGAATGTCAAATTTTGATTATCGAACTATCAAACTCGGCAACATTATAGATATATTTGTGAGTTGATCCATTATAAGATTGTGATATTTTTTTTTTAATTTTGTCAAAATATTTTATTGTGTCTTTCAATATTGGCCCAATAGATTTTGTCTTGACTTATGAGTTCTATTTTTGTAAATCGACAATCTCCTAACATGTCATACCATCTGAAGCAGTGATCATGTGAGATAATCAGGTCCAATTTACTATCAAAGGAAAGAAAGATGATTTTATTTTGACTATCTTAGTGATATCATTGTTAGCCTTCCTAACTTCCATGCATGTATCTCGGTGGTGCTAAGTGATGATGGAACTCAAATCTTATTGTATGCTCTTCATGGTTTGTATTCAAATTGTTACGGGTGATCTTTAAAATTATTATTTTTTAGAATATAATTTTGCAAATAGTCCAAAATTCTTGATTTATCTTAGTATGATTTAAATTAGCAATGATATGGAATCCTTTTAACACTTTTTGTCTTCTCTTCTTATACAATCAATTATATGGAGGATGAGCTCTAATTATTTGCTATATAAAGTAAGTGTGAAGGTGCAGGATAAAGGAAGGAAATGAGAGAAGACGAAATAAAAGTAAGAAAATATGAATAACTACGAGAAAAGAGCTCGATTGCTGATTCATTCTTTGATGATGTTCCAGTTTAATCTTGGGCTCTTCTTGTAA